GGTATTTCCCCTTCCTGGCTGTCATGTTACTTTAGATCTACTGAGACACACACATTCATTAAAGTTGTACTTTCCCTGTGAAAGAAAGAAAGTAAAAAAAGAAGGATAATTTTCTTTTTTAAATTAATTTTAACACATAAAACATTAAAATTTTACATATTGATGGGGCACCATATAAAAATTCAATACATCTATACATTGTGTAATGTTTAATCCAGGTTAAACACACTTATCTTCTCATTTGTCATTACTTTATGGTGGAAAAAAAATTGAAACCCTTTTTTTTGATATACACAGTACAGTTATTACATAGTCACCCCACTGTGCAATAGCAGGCCAGAACATCTTCATTCTAACAGTGACTTAGTAGCCCCTGATCAGCTTTTCCCCATCCCTCTGCCCACTCACAGGGCCTCGGTGGTATTTGTGTTTCTGGGTTTGTTTTTTTTTTTCTTTTTGCCCAGTCTGGCGATTGAATCTAGGGGTTCTCTACTACTGAGCTACATCCCCTGCCTACTTTTTAACTTTTTATTTTGAGACAGGATCTCACTAAGTTGCTGAGGCTGTTCTTGAACTTGCGATCCTCCTGACTCGGCCTTCCGAGTCACTGGGATTCCAGGCGTGCATCTACACCTGGCTCTGGCTTATTTCTCCTAACATAGTGATCTCCAGTTCCATCTGTGTTGTGGCAAATGACAGGAGTTCCTTCTTTTTTACGGTTGTGTAGTAATTGTGTGTAGATACCACATTTTTCTCATCTGTTCATCAGTTGATGGGTACCTAGGTATTTCCCCTTCCTGGCTGTTGTGACCAGAGCTATAGTGAACTTGGGCACGTGGATGTCTCTTCCACAGGCTGACTTTATGTCCTCCGGATCTATACCCAGGAGTGGGGACTGCCGGATCCTAAGGCAGTTCTGTATCTCATTTTTGAGGACTCTCCATGCTGTTTTCCATGGTAGCTGTACTAACTAATAAGTGCATTATATATTCTGGATATTAGCCCATTGTCAGATGTAGTTTACAAATATTTTCTCTCATTCTATGGTTGTCTCTTCATTCTTATGATCATTCTTGCTGTGTAGAAACTTTTAGTTTGATATACTCCCATTTGTCTATTTTTGCTTTCATTTCTGTGCTTTTGGGGTCTTGTCCAAAAGAATCCTTGCCCATTCCAATGTCCTGAAACATTTCCCCTGAGTTTTCTTCTCATGGTTTCAGTTTCAGGTCTTACACTTAAGTCTTTAATCCATTTTGAGTTTGATTTTTATAACTGGTGAGAGATAGGGGTGAATTTCTGAAATGCCTCTCCCACCCCTTTCCCTCTTCATAAATCTTGATCCACACCCTTCTTACTTGAATATGAGATGAGCATTTAAACTTAAGAATTGATAATAGTTATTTGGAGGGTGGAGCTGAGAGTAAGGAGAATATTTTTAGCTTGAAAATTTTTGTACCATGTAGATTTTTGCTCTCAGCATGAGTTGCTTTTGTAATTTTAAAACGTAGATATAATATTAAAAATTATAATGTTGAACAGAGACACTATCTATTACTCTAAATTTAAGTTTACTTTAAAATTGTGGCTTATCGAAATGACATTTCTCTTCTGAAGTCTATACCTCCCCTAAATTACACGGTAGAGTACTATTCAAGATGCATCCAGAGGCCAGTCTGGGGCCACAACCATTTATTGCACCAACCCACAGTGAGATCAGTACAGAAGCTGAGAGCAAGCAGGGGAACTTTTATAGCAATTTGGCATGGTGGCGACATTTCTATTTTTTGTTTTGTTTTGTTTTGTTTTGTTAAGTAACAGTCCTCAAAAGATTGGAAAAGAAAGAGTTAGTGCTTCACCACAGCCACCTCCAAGGGCACTGAGGCCATCAATACAGAAACACACACCCCTGAGGTTGAAAGGCTAGGCCCAAAATTATAGATGTTCTTCTGGGGTCAGAGGGGGAAGGCACCTCTGCTGACGATTCTTCAGGCTGAGACATGGACTGAGTCTTTATCACATAACCTACCTCCACATGTCACATGGGATGGTAGGTGTCATTTGGCAGAAGCCTCTGTGAAAGGCCAGAAAAATGAGAGCCAAGGGCCTTTGGATGCCTATGAATGCAAGACGATGCACTGTCCACTGGATACAAGGCCCTCTAGGATGATGGTGCTGTGGAACACACTCAGGATCTGGAACCTATAGGGCTCCGTATGCGTTGTTTAACAGCAATATTCTGACATGTCTAGAATGTGTCACATCTAGAAAATGGTAACAATAGTCTCTATCTTTGAGATCTTGGTAAAAATTCAAGATAAGAGGTGTAGAGAGCCTGGCTCCTGGCAGATGGTCAATAAAAATATGTGTATGAGAGAGAGATTAGCAAAAGGGTAGTCACATAGATGGGCCTGTGTATTGACCATGGATTTATGGTTCCTGACCAGTGCAGGATCTAGGAAACAAGGGACCATTGAATGGGCTGAATATCTGGGCACTGAGGTTGCTTTAGAGAAAATTAAAAGAGGCTGTTACGATGAGCCAGCAAAAAGCCTCATGTCAAGAATACATTGCAGGAAAATGGCAATATATACAGTGTGTCACCTGTGACCATAATCCAGGGCTTAGTGCAGAACTGCAGCCAACTCTTGGCACAACTCAAAGGTGGGCCAAGGTGACTGGGTTCCTGTGAATCCCAAGATACAGGCCAAAGCATTCCTTTCTCAGAGCTGAGAGGGAGGGGAAAGGAGCAGGTGGCATCAGTGAAGAGCCTCTTTCCCCCTCCCAGGGGACAGTGCTCCTCAAGGGCACAGGGGTGAAATGCTGCCTCCAAGGGAAGCTTGGCAGACAGACAGTAGGTGGCACCAGGGATAAGGAAGTACTTGGGGGATCCAAGCTCTTCCACCTCTGGGTTCCCTCCATGGCAAGGGGGCATCTGACACCACACACCAGGGCACCAGGCCTCATGGTCTGGTGTTGAGTGGCAAGTGCACTCTGAAGGCCCATAAGCCCATGCCTGGCCCAGAGCTCTGGGGCCCAAAGCTATGTCCTGGGCAGCATAAACAGACTAGCATTTCTTCTGCCAGACCCATCAGGATTGTTAGCCAAGTGCTCCTCATATTTGGATTAATTCTGCCACACTGGGGAACAGAAAGGCCTTGTGAAAACAGGAGATTTGAGCTGAAAGCTCGGAGGGCCTTGGAACTCTCTCCTGCAGTTCAAGTTAACCCCCTCTCCAGGAGAGCCAGCAGGATGTTTGCAATGTTATTTAGGAAAAGAACCAAAAGTCTGCTAATGTGAAAATGAGAAAACTTCCTTTCCACCCTTCCATCAGTTCTAGAATTTGCTACTCAATTTCTAAATGATTTATTAAAATAGTGACCTGATGTTTCATATTTTTTGGATGGTTTCAAATATTCTGATGTCTACTCAGACCATAAGTCAGAAATGTTTAGGTGTTCTATTAAAAACTCACAATGACAGAGGTCAGCAGACTAAAAATAGACTGGCTGATCCCAGCCACACTGTGAGGATTTGGGGGAGTCTCTCTCATTTCTATCCTCTCAACCCTGACCAAAGCTGATATCATACCAGGCTGAGAGTGTATCAACACAAAAGATTCAGGTAAGTCACCAGATCACAAGCTTCATGCCACCCTCCTACCAGGCCAAGGTCATGTGGAAAAGGCTCCTGAGGAGCATCTTCCCCAGAGGCCTGGGTGGGCCAAGAAAGCCAGCTGCCAAAAGAAAGGGTGAGCATGGAGGGCTGAGCACTGAAGCAGGGCCGTCATACTCCATGGCCACTCTTGGGGCCACTGGGACCCTCTCCCCAGCCCTGGTGCCCAGGAGAGATGCCCTGGATTCCAGGAAGCAAAGGGCATCCCCAGAGAGTGTCCCAGCGTCAGCAGAACCTCAGACAAGGAGGCTCCTGCGTGCATTTCCACACAGCAAGTGTCCCACAGGGGGAGACTCATCAACAGGGCTCTTCGAGGCTGCTCCTTATTTGAGGAACAAAAAGCCTTAATACAGGTGTCCAGGCCAATGGGTCACATGGCAATGCCTTCTCCATCCTAGTCCCTTCTCCTGGGCCACCACCCTAAGAATCCAGGCTTTCAAGAGACATGGCCCAACTCCACACATTATAAAACCTTTCTGTATAGATGAATCCTATGGTCTGGAGAGACTACTGGAGCACTGGCAATGTGGCCTCCTAATGAAAACTGGGATCTTTTTGAGCAGCCAAAAAAAAAAGCCCTTCTTGCCTAAGTTAAATGCAATGTTTCTTCTTCTGACAGGATGACTACATCCTCTCCCTACCACAGCCTTAGCATAAGGGTCTCCCAAGACCCCAATTCAACAGAGACAGCTGCTGACAAATCAGTGGTGTATTTCATAGTGGAAGATGCCCTAACATTTGCCTTTGGTTCATTCCACCAAAACATGACCAAGACAGTTCACAGAGCAAACCGGGATCAGCCCAGAAGAAGTATTCTAGATACACACACTCCCAGAGCCTCGGGAAGCACATGTCTGATGAGCCTAGAATGGTAGTCAGAATTTTAGAATTGAAATGCAGATTACACAGGAAGACACCATGGGTGTCTCTGAACTGTTTTATTTCTTTTTGAAAAATAATCCAGCAGTAACTCACTAAAATGTTTTTTAACTTTTTTTTTTTAAGTTTTCAATGAATCTTTATTTATTTATATGTGGTGCTAAGAATAGAACCCAGTGCCTTACACATGCTAGGCAAGTGCTCT